CACACACACACACACACACACACACACATATTTCCAGAGGCACATAGCAGGAAGCTATTTTATATGTGTATTTTATACGTACATGCACACACCAGAATGAAGTAAAGCTATCAGATACATACACAGGCACGCAGGCGTACCAGAATCAATTAAAGCCGTTTGATTTATAAAGTTCTGTATGTGTGTCATTGTGTAGATACGCAAAAGCACAGAAACCAACTGAGTATGCCAGACAAAAATTATCACCAGCTATAGTAATAGCGATAAATGCTGCATGAAAATTGTACAGGCTGTCAGGACAGATGTAACAGAGCTTATAGGTGAAACCGCTGAGCAGAGATCTGCTTCTTTGTCCTCTGACCCCAAGGAAACTTGGTTGATGGTCTCATGGTGTCTTTGAACCTCCCCCAGTGTTCAGAAGGAGACAATTCCCAGACTGTTACAAGGGAAGGATGCTCTGGTGAGATCACAGACGGGCTCAGGTGAGAATTTGGCTGCTCCTGTTTGGGAATGACAGCCATCCAGTTCACAACAGGATGATGGTGGTGCAACCTGTTGGCTTGAGAGACCTTTTTGGGGCTTCCGTGGTCTCCGCAGGCAAGTGGGACTGGTTTTTTAAGGGGTGGTGTGGCGGCCTTAAACATCTACCAAATTCTGCCCTGCTCTGTGGGGAATTTATGGGACAAAGCTGCTCATTTATTACTTTTTTCTAGCCTCCCAACTTTTTTTTTCCTGATGACCCCCTTCTTGTTACTCCCCTCCAGGAAAGACACTTGCTTATAGCATCCCCCTTGTACAGTCCTTGCAAAAATTGGAGCCAAAAATCAAGGTGAGCGTATTGCATGAGGCTAACCTTCTGCAGAGGAGCGAGCTATCCATTTTGGGGGTTCGGGCTGGAGATTATCGTAGCAACAGCCTTAATTTCTCGGCGTTCCTATTTTTTTCTTGCTTTTCCCTTCCTCTGTTGGAATAGGGTGTATTTTAACCCGCTAAAGCACCCCCGTTATTGTTTGACCTTAGTAAATAAAGATCAAAAAAAGAATTCATACCGTATGCATGCGTGTTTATCCCACACGCGTGGGTGTGTATACATATATGCTACATATATCAATGCAACAAAGATAAAATGGGTTGGTCCTATAGTTCTTCTCTTCTATTCCCAAAATTCCTAGCCAGTTCTGCATGCACCGTAGAGCAGATCGCTGCGCAAACAGTCTGTAAATTGCTAAGCGTTGGGTTGGCCTAAGAGGGCAAGATCTTTTTTCTATTCTTGAAAGTTCGTATCCTGTTTTGCTCCTCATCTCTCCTGTCTCCCTGTTGCTTCCTCCAGCGTAGTGACGGGCCGTATGCCCTCGTCCTGGTTCCAACCAGAGAGGTAAGTTTACTTGCCCGGATTAATTTTAATCCTAATCTTATGATTTCGGTTCCATCAAGGCATTCAGACGGAATTCAGAGTTCTCTGATCACGTAGAATCGCTTCTTAGCCAACCCCATTGCTGGTCCTACAGCTTGGTGGGAACTGATCATTTCTCTTTCCCTGCAAGTTCCCATGATCCCCAGCTAGCAAGCTGGCAGGGGAATATGGGAATTAATCCAATACCTCTGGTGAACACCAGCAGTGGGGAAGTTGATACAAAGTGCTGGCATTTGCCTCCAGAGGAAACCCTGTTTATTTTTAACAACCAGTCTATAGGGATGGGGGGAAATATATCTCTTCCCTATGTGGAGGGGGTGAAAAAGTTAGGGGCAAAGTGGGATTGTGGAAATGGCGTCATTAATGTGCCCTCTTCTCTCCAGCTAGTCCTGCAGAGTTTTGAAACACTCCAGAAGCTCTTAAAGGTAAGCATTGATTGAAGGAGATGGAAGACAGGTTGGGGTTAGATTTTGTCACCATCTGGAGAGAGTAGTATTTAAAAAAATATATATATATTTTTGCTGGCTCCCTGCCCACCGCACTGGATGGGACTTGAGATTGAGTGGAGAATTAACATTTAAAAACCCCTGTTCAGGTAGCAGTGGAGATTTCTGGATGTAATGTTTGTGGGGCCTTCACCTTCCTCTCTGTTGGACTTTTAAGTGCATCATGAGATCAGCCGCCTTTCTGAGCCCAGTTGGAGTGTTGAGATCCTGTGGCGAGCGCACTCACAAAATGGTGGCCGTCTTGGGAGGATCTCAGCCATCCCCATGAGGGCTTTGTAAGGCCAAAAGGCCTTGCTGGAAAGACATGGAACACTAGAGGGTGGCACAGGGCTTTGCAGTGGGTTACTTAACTTTTGTACAAATTTTGAAAAAGATTGAGTAAGAGGGGGAACCCCAAAGAAGATGTGGGGGGGCAGATGAAGTTCATGAGAATGCACGTGGATCAACCACACATCCAGCATTTGGAGGTTCTTCCTGTGTTAGGTCCAAAGAGAGGGCTCATGGCTTTGGCGTCCTTCTCATCTGGAACCAAGGCTCTTCTGCAAATGCAAAAAAGAAATTAGACCATCACAGCATATCAGGGAAAGTAAAAACAGCCGTAGTGAAGTGCTAAAAGGCTTAATCCCCACCCCACCCCAAGTTTCACTTTCTTCCTCTCCATTCCTGCATCGTTTAGCCATTTACTTGGATTGTGCCGGGGGTCCTCATGGGTGGCGAAAAGAAGAAATCTGAAAAAGCCAGGTATGGTGCCAGCGTGACGACATCCTGTCCACCCTCCCCACAATTTTTTTTGAAGTTCATGCTCTTTTGTTTTCAGTCTCCCATGGAGTTTTTTCCCCCCCTTTTTTAATTTTTATTATCATTACTGGGGTGAAGAGAGATTTGTGTCCTTGGCTCAGTCTCTGGAGAAGGGCTCTGCAATGGTCTGTGGGAATGACCTCGGGAGACAGGAGGGAGAGCCCTAAACTGAACAACCAGCATGGAAAAGGTAGCTCAGCCCACAGAAGGAAAAGGGGCATGGGAAGCATTTCAGAAGACCCTCCCTAGTTTTCCAGAGAGTAAAAGGAGAGGGAGGGAGAAGGGCTTAGAGATGGTCTGTGGGAATGACCTTGGGAGACAGAAAGAAGAGCTGCAGACCAGGCAACAGGCATGGAAAAGGTGTCTCAGCCCACAGAAGGAAAAGGGGCATGGGAAGCATCTCAGAAGGGACCCTCCCTAGTTTTCCAGAGAGTCAAAGGAAAGGAGGGGAGAAATACATTCAGTCCTCCAAGATAATGTAACTTTACAATAAAGAGAGAGCTGGTAGTCCTGAGTAAGTTTCTTGTCTGGACTACCTGAAAGGACTGACAAGCAGTCAACAGTCCCCCAGCATGGATCTTAAAGAAAACTGTCTTGCCCAGCTGGAAGTGCATTCCTGTCTCCCTGCATCTAAAAGCTGGGTGATCTTTTAGAGCTGATGACCTCAGTTTGGGACCACAGAGCATCTTTTTTTCTCTCTGTCTGCATCTTTCCAAATCTGCTATTCCATCCAGAGCTTTTGCAGCTGTTTGCTTTCAAGGAGCAGATGGTTTGGTCTATAAGAGAAATGTGGGTGTCTTGGCTGTTCAAGTGGGGAGCGAGCTTTTCGGTTTGCCTTCTACAAAGGAAAAATATAAGGTGGATCCCAACCAAATCGGTGAATTCAGAAAAGAATCCGACTACCAGGGGTATATTAGCCCCTTGTGGCGCTTGAGTTTATGTAATTAATTAGATTTTTCCACAAACAATTATGCTGGTTTTGTTTTAGATGAGGCCTCCACTCAGCACAGGAATATATGATTTGCCCTTTGAACTTTATAAAAAAAAATCTGTTTAAAGTAACGTCAAAGTTTATTTCGGTCAAAGACTGGTATAGAACAAAATAATTAAACTTTAAATTTAAAAGTAAAAGAGGAGGACTGAATATAAAACACAAGCTAAAGGAATAATAGATAATATTATTATCATTATTGTTACCAGCGTAAGCTGTGTCTCTAAAACTAAAACAGAGTGTTATTTGTCTAAAACTGAGGCAGAGAGCTGAAATTCTAAGATAGAGGTAGGTTAAAATAAAATAAAATGATGTCCCTCCATCCATCCATCCATTTAGTGTTGTTGTAGAAAGGTTAGTCACATTTATACTGTTGATTGATTATGTGCCGTAAAGTTGTTTTCGACTCTTAGCAACCACATAGATAGAATTCTCCATGTCCCCAACCTGGTCCTTCAGATCTTCCAATGATGTCCCCATCACTGAACTGAGTCCCTCCACCTTGCTGCTGGTCATCTTCTTCTCTTCCTTCCCATTGATTAATTGACTGATTAGGTATTATTGAATCAGCATCAACCTTTGGCGACCACACAGATAGGTTTTCTCTATGATGGTCTGTCCCCAACCTGGTCCTTCAAGTCTTCCAACAGTGCCCCCATCGCCACTGTAACTGAGTCCAACTACCTTGCTGCTGATCATCCTCTTTCCTTCCACCTTTCCCAGCATTAGATCCTTCTCCAGAGATCTGGGTCTTCACATAATGTGTCCAAAGTAGGATAATTTGAGCCTGGTCACTGATGCCTCGAGTGGAAACTCTGGGTTGATTTGTTGACGATCCATCCGTTTGTTTTCTTGGCTGTCCACGGTCTTCTAAGGAGTCTTCTCCAACACCAAAGTTCAAAGGCGTCAATGCTCTTCCTCTCCTGCTTCTTTAAAGTCCAAGTTATACTGTATGGAGGGAGTTTAAAGGAATGAATGTTTTACAAAGCTCTCTTGCTCTGTTTGTCAGGCCTTCCTTCGGTCATTCAATCCGCCTCGCGAATTGGTTGAAATTGGCAGCCTTTCCTTTGCCAACGTCCTCCCTTCCTTGTTCCAACAGATTGCGCAAAGGAATAAACATTCTTGTTGCAACGCCCGGGCGGCTGGTGGACCACATCAAGTCAACCCAATGTATCCATTTCCGCTGCATCCGGTGGCTGATTCTGGATGAGGCTGACAGGTATGGAGATCCCCTGATATTTTCATTTGATAGAAAGATCTGCTCCGGTGGGAGGAGTGAGATTTCCTTTCTGCAGCCCTTCTTACCTGCACGGGTCGCTATCTGATGTAACCGGCCATTGGGGTTTAATTTTTTTAATATAATTTTTATTGCTTTTTTATTCATAACCGGAAAAAAGAAAAACAAAACGTAAAAATAACAATACTCTATCAAGAAGAAAAACCATGTTAAAAAGAGCTATTACAAAAAAGCGACAAAAATACAACAAAGGAAGTAAAAACTTGGCATGGTATATCATTATAACAGTAGTTACAAATCTGTCTGTATTTATCTAATGCAAATATTACTCAGATGCATATATATTTCCAAGACATTTGCGTGACTCTCATTTTTTTTTAACCTACTGTATTTTGGGTTAATGAGGGTTTATAACATGGCACCTATTTGCCCAGTATCTCCTTTCATTCACTTTTTATTTTTTAAACGATGTCCGTATATGAATGTTTCAGATGTATGAATATGCCGTGGCCAAAATTGGTGACTCTTTTCAAAATGATCATTTGTCTTCTCCCTGCAAAATCTGCATCGTCCTAGAGGACAAACGTTTCTTAATTGGTTCCGATTATTTAGCAAGCTGAATAAAGAGGCTATCAGATCTAGTGGTGAAGGTGCTGGAAGTGGGGAAACCCAGGTTCAAGTCCAGCCACAGCTGGCCTACCTCACTGGGTTGTTCTGAGCTAAAAGTGGGGGAAAGAGTGCTAGAAACTAGGAGTTAGGAGCACCTGAATGAAAAGGTGTATTGCATATAAAAAGAGAAAAGTAAAAATTCTACCAGTATTAATTGCAGTTTGGGATATCGATATTGCAGACGTAAGATTATTTGACTTTTCATCCAACATTACGATAAACAAAGGACGGCTGCAATTCACATCAACGTATTCGTTATATCATAATAGTTTTGGTCTTGAACGAATTGCTTAATATTAAGATCTCCGTTGTATTGTTATTTAGTGTGTGTGTGTGTGTGTGTATACACAACCCACAAAGTAACACACATACAGTTTCTCTCTCTGTATATATAGGTTTATATATTGGTAAAAGGAAGTAAGAGATAGACGAAGCAAATTTACTAAGACTGTTTCTAAAGCTTTGGAGTACTAAACGTTGAAAGTTGAAATACTAATCTTCCATTTCAGGATTTTCATGAATTACTTGTTTTTAATGGAAAGGAAAGAGAAGTCAAGGGTAGCTAATCTGTGCAAAGCGAGTCTCCAAAGTCTTTTTTTTTTCCTTCCAAAATTGTTTGGGCCCATCGTAGGCAATGGATGTAGTGGGTGCAGTGTGTTTTTATGGCTGATTTCCTGCTTTCTGTCCTTTTCCCCCCAGGATCCTGGATTTGGGTTTTGAAAAGGCAGTGGCCGCAATACTGAACGCTGTCAACGCAGCCAGCCCGAAACGGCAAAACGTCCTTTTATCGGCCACACTTACAGACGGTGAGTGTAATCTTGGCCATCTTTTTCTTGGAGTGCCCCACTAAAGAGCAGAGTAGACCCCCAATGCAGCTTCAGATCCTGTCTATCCCCTAGGAAATCATCCCATTGAGATTTGCTCTCCCTCTGAAATCAGGCTGACCTTTTCCCAGCGGGCTCCCTATCTTTAATTTTCCCAGAATGCAGCACTCTCCCATCACTCCGGGGCATTATGGGTAAAGAAAAAAAATGGTGGCCCTCAGAAGCCTGTGGCAGCCGTTGCTGGTTCTTTTTAAACCCATAAGGCTTTAACATAATGTTTTGGGGTCACGCTAGTAGAAATCTCTATTGGTTGTCAGCCTTGGTGACTAAAAATGCTGGAAGTTGATCTCGGTCCAGCTGTTGGGGAAGATAATTCTGCCAATTGCCTTCCAAGAAGGAGTTTCTTGCAAGCAGCAAGAAATTTGCAGAAAAGTGTTCTGAAAAATATTTCAGAAAGAGGCAGCCTGCTGTGATCGCTGTTGGATTACTCTGTTCTCTCTGCTGCTTTCCAAGAAAATCACCAACAGAGGGAGTTTTTTCGGGGATCTAGCAAAACACAGAATATCGCTCAAATATTTAGAGCAGGGGTGCATCACATTGGGGGGGGCTTGGTTGTCAACTGATGTGTTGGGAAAGGGCCCCCTTGGGGTATAGATGGGCCAGGAGAAAAATGAGGTTTGATATCGAAGGTAAAGTCTCCTTCAAGTTAAGCTCAGCTTCTCGTGGCTATACAGACACATCCGTGTTGGTTTCCTTGGCAATGATTTGCAAGCTCTTCTAAAATGTTTTTGGGACTTCCTGATCTAACCTACAGCTTCGGATTTCCTGATTGTCTCCCATCCATGTACTAAATCCAATCCTGCTTAGATTTGTTGAGAGCTGGCATCTAGCTGGGCTTCAATTGAAGCAAGCCTGAAATCTGAGATCAGCGTGAGCCCAGTCCATTTAACAGGGCTGTTCTCCATACACAACATGTTTTTTTCCCCTTACAATGCTTAAAATCACAGTTTGGCACCCATTTTTAGAGAGGTGTTGGAGAACCTGGATTACACTTCTGTTTTTCCTGCTTTGTGGCAACTGGAGTGTTTGGAATGAAGGTGGTTCTTTTCTCATCAGAACATCCTTGCTCACCCCACCCCTGTCGAATACATTACAGGATTTTGAAAGAGTTAATTTACAGTTTCTTTGGCTGGTGGAGGAAATGTTATTTTGAGTGCAATCGCTTCTTATTGTCCCCCTCCCACCACCTCGCAACAGGAGTCTCGAGATTAGCCGATATCAGCTTGCAAGATCCCATCTGTGTTTCGGTGGCGGCAGAACCCCCGGGTTCAAACCCACGTCTGGGAAAAGGCTATGTTCAGGAGGCTGTTGATATACCTTCTGCCGGGGAGGAACTAGGCAGTTTTGCTGTGCCGGAAAAACTCCGCCAGAACGTCGTGATGGTCCCAAGCAAGCTAAGACTGGTCACCTTGGCGGCTTTCATCTTCGGGAAGTTCAAGGTGAGAGATTTGAAGTCCTTTTTTCCCGTTCAGTCGTGTCCGATTCTTGGAGACTGCCTGGACAAGTCCCTGCCGTTTTCTTGACAAGGTTTTTCAGAAGTGGTTTGCCATTGCCTCCTTCCTAGGGCTGAGAGAAAGGGACTGGCCCAAGGTCACCCAGCTGGTTTTGTGCCTAGGTGGGACTAGAACTCATGGTCTCCTGCTTCCTAGCCTGGTGCCTTCACTGCTACATCAAACTAGCTTTCATACCCAGACCTATACACTATCTGTAAAGAGTAGAGAAGATGACCTCGATGGAGATATTTTATTAGCTTATATATTTACTTATTTATTCAAGTTGTATAAATAATTGAATTTGTATAATTCAAGCTTGGCTCCCAAGGCAACCAGGGGTTAAAACATGTTTTAAGTCCAAAACGTAACGTTCGGAAGCGGATCAGACAGACACCTCCCTAACCGACTGAACTATAAGAAAAAGAGGTATGGGACAGTCCGACTTGACGATTGATGTCAGCCCTGCTAGGTGGACCAAATGAGGAAATCAGTCCACAAGAAGACTAAAACTACTTTCATGGAAATCAGCCATAATAGCAGAACCTTGCAAGTCTGATTGGGCTGGATCTCCCCCCCCCCATACTCCAGTGAATTAGGGAGGTGTCTATCTGAGTCACTTCTGAATGTTATCTCATTGCTCTGGACTTAAAAAATGTTTCAGCCCCTTTGGCCTAGGGAACAGATTTTACATATTTCCGTCAAGGTCCCCTTCCTGATTCTCAACATTATGTTTTCCTTAACCCCTTGTGGAGTCCCAGCATGGGATCAGCATGGATTTTGTTCTTTCTGCAGTTTGAAAAACGCCACAAGATGATTGTCTTCTTCTCGAGTTGCGAGCAGGTGGAATTTCATTACGTCCTCTTCCGAAAAGTCTTGGGTGGGGAGCCTGGGGGTGAAGGAGTAGGATTATCACCAGCCCTTCCTTCTCCTTTGAAGTTTGCACGCTTGCATGGTGACATGAAGCAAGAGGTGAGTTCATATCCCTATAAACTCCCCCCCATTTTTTTTTTTAATATATAGAGGACATGTTTCTCAACAACTTGTACGTAGCAATATTGAAACCTATGCATTGGGGAGTTCTTTCTTCTTTGTCCCAAGTCTGCCCTTCCAAAAGCTAAAAAATAAATAGTTATGATGTCCTTCAGTCTAGGCCAACTCTTGTGTTCTTTCTTACTCGCTTTTTAAAATCATAAACATGGTGAATAGGACAGGATCACCCCTTTGTGAAAAGGAGTTCTTGCTCTTTTTCCGAAACCTTCAAAGAAATAATGTCCAGTTGATGCCAGTGGCTGCTAGCCACCCTGAAAAAAATCATTGAAGGTTGAATTCATTCATTCATTCCCTATGCATGCTTCCTGATACCAACATAAGCAAAAAAATACACACCTATTCCAAGGAGTTTATTATTTAAACAAGTAAAATTCAGTTAAAATTGGCAGCCGAAACATGCTTGCATTTTTGCATAAAATGTTCTGTTGATCCGTCATTGGATTTAGGCAGGTCCAAAGACGCCCCCCGCCCCCCAAACCAGCTGAAAATTAAAATGCTTGGAAACCTTGGCAATTCCCTTTTTTTTCCTACTTGGGGAATTGGTCTGGCATCACGTCTTGTTTTATTTTATTTTCTTTTTCCCCTTTTCTCGTAGGAGAGATCGTCCGTGTTCCAGGCCTTTCTGCAATCAAAGACTGGCGTTTTACTCTGCACCGTGAGTTGCCAAATAAGAACTGAATGTATTCAATGCCTAACGTATCTTTGTGTCGATCAGAGAAAGGGAGCAAAGTAATTCAGAGTAAGAAGTGTCCAAAATTAGGGAGAAAGTAGCACGGTCCTCACGATTAACCTGGGTTAAGATTGTGGACTTTGGAGCAAAACGGAGCAACATACTTTATGAAAGAGTTTATGTATTTATTCAATTTGTAAAGCCAGTTTTTAAAAAAGAGGATTTTTAGTTGATGGTTATAGTTATCTTTTCAAATTGCCCTCAGTTTGAAAGCTGTTACACTTACGGATAAATTGTCGTCCTCTTAAACTGCCTTCCTTGCATTCTGATCGCCCAAGGCTTCAGAGTCTTGCTTTGCTACCCAATCTCCTTGCTCGTTGAACGATTCAAGAAATGCAAGGTTTGGCAATTCCTCTTTTTGGCCAACGGTGAAATTACTGCCCTTGGGGATGGCTGGGAATTCAAAAAGGCAACATCCAGGACATTTGAGAAGCTTCATGTTGAGGACAGTGGCTCTGGTTGCTTCCTCAAGCAAGAACATGGTTTGTTATCTCAGATTTGATTGGCTGCTTCTTGAGGCTAGAACGTGGCTTGCTATCTCGGACTTGACCGGTTGCTTCTTCAAGCTAGAATGTGGCTTGCTGTCTCAGACTTGACTGGTTGCTTCTTCAAGCAAGAACGTGGTTTGTTATCTCAGATTTGATTGGCTGCTTCTTGAGGCTAGAGCGTGGCTTGCTATCTCAGACTTGACCAGTTGCTTCTTCAAGCTAGAACGTGGCTTGCTGTCTCAGACTTGACCAGTTGCTTCTTCAAGCTAGAACGTGGCTTGCTATCTCAGACTTGACCGGTTGCTTCTTCAAGCTAGAACATGGTTTGTTATCTCAGATTTGATTGGCTGCTTCTTGAGGCTAGAACGTGGCTTGCTATCTCAGACTTGACCGGTTGCTTCTTCAAGCTAGAACGTGGCTTGCTATCTCAGACTTGACTGGTTGCTGCTTCAGGCTAGAACATGGTTTGCCATCTCAGACTTGACCACGCCTTTGTCCACTTGATGACTTCCGTTGAGTGGGAAGGGAACGTGTACACAGCCGCTTTGTGAACTGGGTCCTTTGTGAACTTGGTCTCCTTCCATCCAATTTTGCTTCGGCATTCGGGTGCAGGAGGCACTGTTTGGAAGAAGCTTCTGTTTCCTCCCTTTGCCCGTTGACTCCATCACACTAACGCGTCCTGCCAGTTTTCTGGCGGGCACAGGCGGCCGCTTTCCCCCGCCGACAGCTTGGGCTGCTACGGTCTCCTTTTCTTCTGCTGATGACGCAGTCCAATCTGTCGCCCGGCTGGCAGGGGCGTCCTCCCCGCTGATGGCTTTCCACGCTCAGCCTTAATGACTCTTGGCAGGCGGGGAGAGGCGTGGGGCTCCCACGTCCGTTTTGGACCCCTCTGCTGCTTTCTTCCCCCTCCTGTTTTGCTAAGGTGCTCTTCTGGGTAAAGGAATGAATCATCTGAATCCAACTGACAGCCTGGCACCTGAACGGAGGGCCTTCCATCTGGACCTCGAAGCTTCACGGCGGCTGCCAGTTGCCAAGGCCTTGGGGCCCAGGGTCTTTTAGAAAAGGCTGCCCCTAAATGTCTTATTTTTGCCCCAAGGTTTTGTGGCAGGCTAGGATGGCCACCTGGACCGAATTTGGGGGCTTTTTTTGTTTTTTTTGAAATGTCTTTTTTGGAACATGGTTGCCAAGGACGTCCTGTCACCTTGTCCCAAACACTCGAATGCTGTGAGGTCTGTCCAAGAGCTTATTTATATTAGGGCTCAGCCAATCAGGAGGTCTTATTCCCAGAAGAGGCGGTCTTTGTACTCCACGTTGGCCAATCAGGAAACTGTCTCGCCCCCCAGTCACCCAATCACACTGTTGTTCTCTTCCTCACCCATAAAAGGTGCCGATGACCATTGACTGGTCATCTTCAGTTGGGTGCCTGCAACATGTCTTGGACTACAATTCCAATCTCTCCCCCCCCAGCAGGGTCAATGGGGAGTGGCAATCCAACCCTTAGGAGATGCATCTCCAGGTCCACTAGTTTTGGAGGTTCATGACCTCCATGTTTTAATTTACTTACGTATTTATTTATTTACTTATCAAATTTATACACTTATTTAGCAGGTGCTGGGCCTGGAAGAAGCTGCAATCATGCCATTGTTCTTCCTACGGGCCAGTAGAATGCAGCCTCAGTCCCGGCTTGCTATAAATACCAGAAACTTTTTTTCCCTTCCTCTGATCTGCAGAGCAGAGCGTCCAAGGTTTCTGATCAAGCCTAACTCTACAAAACCAGCTTTCTCCTTCCGGCTGAAATTTTGGCTTAACCCATCCCATTGCCCCCCACCCCGGGATAGGTCCACCTCTGTGGTCACCATCCTGGCATGTGGCATGACCAAGGGTACAAACTATAAGCTGTTTGTGGAAAACTCTGAAAGGTTTGAAAGGGACGGTGCGCAGTTGCCGTCTGCAGAGATGCAGCGGCAGACGCAGAACGCAACCGGCTGAGCGCGAGCGGGGGGCACGTCTGTAGAGGTGCCTGCAAGCTGATCGCGTTGGGAGGCAGCTGGCCTTAATTGCACGAGCCGAGTGAAAACACCCGGGTGGTGGAAACGCTATAATGAGTGCTAATATATTTGCATACTCATTACGCCTTTGCATGGTGCTCTGCCTTGATCTGCTTAAACTAATAACCCTTTTTGGCAGGGTGTGGGTTTCATCAAGTGGACGGGGAACAGGCGGCAGGTTGTGCCAGTCACTGCTGGGTGTAATAAATCCTCCCCCTGCATCCGCTCCTTGAGTTGGAATCCAGTATCTTGGCATGTTGGAACCTCATAAGCTGAAGTGCACGGTCAAATCCAGCCTCCCCCCCCTTTTTGGCAGAGCAGAAGGGAACTGGAGGAAAGACTGGGGATGGAGAGCGAGATGAGGATTGTCAGAGTAGGAGGGGAGGGGAGGGGAGGGGAGGGG